TTCCTCCTTCGCCTCGTCGCCCTCCTCGGCGCCTCACGCGACGGCCGCCGCCGCCGCCGCCGCCTGCGCCGCCACCGCCGCAACTAGGCGGGCCGCGGTCGCCCCTGGCCGCTGCTGCTGCAACCGCGCCAGAATGGCCCGCGCGTTCTCCCTGTGGAGGGAGACGGAGCGTCGCTGGGCCATCCTGTCTGCCACGCCGGCGGCCTCCTCCCCGCGCGCGTCGGCCACGCGCTTGGCCAGCGCGGCGAAGGCGCGCCTCGCCTCGCCGCCCCAGCCCCCGCCGTGCGCCTCCACCACCATCGGGATGAAAACGACGTCGGCGTCCCGGCAGGCCTGCGCCGTGCCCTGGCGCTGCCTCTTCTGTTCTTCGTACCCGGTGTTGGCAGCGCCTGGGTCCGCAGCGGACTGCACCAGGAGGTCGGCGCGCAGGCCTGACGTGACCGCGAAGTCCATGGCGGCCGGGAGCCCGCCGCGCCACCGGGGGACGTAAACGTCCGCCGGGCGGCGCCCGTCGTTGTCCAGGCCGTCGCCGTGCAGCTCCTCCGCGCTCGGCCCCTCGCCCGGCGCCCGCGGTGGCAGCAGTCCGGGCCGCTCCAGCTCCGCTCCCGAGAAGCCAGCCGAATGGGGGTCAAAGAAGGCGCCGTTGCGGAGCTTGTTGTGGCGGCGCGCGCGGTCGCCCTGGCAGGCGCACGTCAAGGCGTGGTCACAGTGCACGTCCATGACCTCCCCGCACGCCGGGCAGAACGCCTCCTCGTCCATCAGCTGGACCCTGAGCCGCCGCTTGATCCCGATCTGCATCAGGCCGTGAGAGACCGCCGTGCCGAGAGCCTCGCAGGGGGGCGCCTGCAGGTGCGCGCTGGCGCCGGGCGCGGCCACCAGGGCGAGGTGGGCGCGCGTCGCGGGCGAGGAGCGGCTCCAGAGGGCGGCGCGTGAGGCGTCGTCGACCTTGTCCGAGAGATTCTTCTGGTTGGAGTGCGTCTCGGTGTCGAAGCGCGGGGCGCGGTCTGCCTCCGCCACGCTGGCGTTGTGGAACTGGAGTGCCGTGGCCAGGGCCCCTGCGTCGCCCGCGTCGTCGTCTGCGTAGCCCGCGTACATGGACCGGCAGAGCTCGCTGCTCTTGGCGCGCGAGGAGAGGTAGGCGGCCGGCGAGTGCTTCTCGGCGGAGCGCAGCCCCAGGCCGCCTTTGTTCAGCTCGAGCGCGCCTGGGCCCAGGAGTCGTCGGCGAGCGAGGCGCAAGCCAGCTGTTCCATGCAAGAGCGGACGGCGGCGCCCATCTCCAGGAGGGCCTCTGCGTGGGCGGAGGGCGGCATCACGCGCGCCGAGTAGCCGAGCTTGCAGTAGGAGGCGCACTGCCTGAGAAGGTGCAGAGCAACCTGCGCGTTCTCCAAGCCTGCCAGCGCGTCCAGGAGCTCCGCTGCCTCGTTGACCCGTTTCTGCGCGTGCTGGCGGCAGAACTCGTCGCCCCCGATAGGCGCGCCGAGAAGCTCGAAGCAGCCGTCGTCGCGCAGTCGGAAGCCGGGCGGGAAATCGGCCGCGGACGCGTTGCTGTCTGGCCCCGCCGTAGGAACCACTTCGCACTTGCCTGGCCCCGTGCTGAGGTTTAGGCCAACTGCTGCGAGCTCGGCCACTACGAGGTGCAGGAAGCGGGCCACGGCCTGTCTGTCGCCCGCCACGCAGCCGTCATCCAAGTAGAAGAAGACGAGGTCCAGGCCGGCGTCCTGCGCGAGCTCCTTGAGGCTGCGGCGCGCCGTCTCCGCGCAGCGTTGGAGCGCCAGGGAGAAGAGCAGCGGGCCCAGCGGGTCGCCCTGCTGGACCCCGCACTCGGAGCGAACCGTCTGCTTGCCGAGGAAGAGATGCGAGGGGCTGCCGTAGCGCCAGTCCGCCCACGGCGCCAGCGCTGGAAAGTCCTCGTGTACAGCTCTCAGGATAGCTCTCCGGTCCAAGGTGTTGAACGCGCTCGAGAGGTCCAGCTTCACGAAGGCTTTGTCCCTGTCGCCCTGGTTGCGCGTGAACCACTGCCTGGCCACGTGGGCGGCCGCCTCCGCGCCTCCCGGGACAGCCGCGCCGACCTGGAGGGGCGCCAAGCGGTCGCGGGCAGCCTCGGCAACCTCCTTGCAGAGGCACTTGCCCACCAGGCGGCGGAGTGTCTCGCCGACGGCCACCGGGCGCAGGCCGCCGTCATTCTTTGGGAGAGCCACCAGCGAGGCACCAGCAAAGTACGCCGCGACCGTCGGCGGCGCCTGGCCGCGCGCGAGCAGGTCAACGAGACCAGCGAGCTGCTCGACGACCTCGTCCCGGAGGGCTGCCGTCGCCAGGGCGTCCTGCAGGTGCTGTGGGCGCAGGCCAGTGGGGCCGGCGGCTGAGCCCTTTGGGAAGGCCCGCAGTTCCTTTTGCACGACAGCGGCGTCGACCTGGGCGGCGGCGGCCGCGTGGACAGCAGGCAGGCTAGCCAGGTCCACTACTGGTTGCTGGCTGCGCGGGTGCTTGCGGCCCATCTGGTCCACGACGGCCGGCGCGACGGACACAGGCGGCTCCGACGTCAGCGAAGCGCAGCTTTTCGAGTAGAGTCCCTCCGCCGACAGGTCGAGGCAGCGCTGTGCTCGGTGAGTCGCCTTGTCCGTTCCCCCTGTCTGGCGTCGTTCTGTTGTCTCCGCCCAGAGTGTCTGGCGCTCTCCCTCCAGCCAGCGGCGGCAGAGGTTCTTGGCTTCCTGCTCGCTCGCGTTCCGGCTGCCTCGGCCTCCGCGGCTGTGTGGGCGCAGCACGCACTTGGGCAGCATGGCCAGTTGGACCCACGCTGCTTCGGTGTTGTGGTGGACCGCCAACGCCGCGGCCTGCGCCAAACACTGCGCCCACAACGTCCTGGCCCCCTTGGGCACGTGGCGCCTCGTGCCGGCGCGGCTGGAGAAGACGGCCCGCAGCGAAGGGGGCCCTGGCTGGCCGGCCGCGTCGCCGGCGTCGGCCGGAGGGGCTCGGGGAGCCGCGGCGGCAGCTGCGCGCGCCGCTGGCCGGCACCTGGGGCACGCTCCCTGGTAGCGGAGACTCAGAAACCGCTGACACACCGAGCGTTGGCCGAGGGCGTGCTGGTCAAGGAACGCCTGCGGGACGGGCGGCAGGTTGGGGTAGCGGCCCGCCGCGTGCTCGTTCAAGTGGACCCTCATGCTCTCCTGGCTGGACCACCCCGGCGAGGCGGCAGGGCCCGCGCGCGGGCAGCCGGGCACCGGGCAGTAGACGCGGGCCCGCCGTCGGGCTGCAGGGCGGGGCGCGGCGGGGGCTGGCGGCGGCGGCTCCGCGGCTGTGTGGGCGCAGCACGCGCTTGGGCAGCATGGCCAGTTGGACCCACGCTGCTTCGGTGTTTTGTTTGACCGCCAACGCCACGGCCTGCACCAAACACTGCGCCCACAACGTCCTGGCCCCCTTGGGCACGTGGCGCCTCGTGCCGGCGCGGCTGGAGAAGACGGCCCGCAGCGAAGGGGGCCCTGGCTGGCCGGCCGCGTCGCCGGCGTCGGCCGGAGGGGCTCGGGGAGCCGCGGCGGCAGCTGCGCGCGCCGCTGGCCGGCACCTGGGGCACGCTCCCTGGTAGCGGAGACTCAGAAACCGCTGACACACCGAGCATTGGCCGAGGGCGTGCTGGTCAAGGAACGCCTGCGGGACGGGCGGCAGGTTGGGGTAGCGGCCCGCCGCGTGCTCGTTCAAGTGGACCCTCATGCTCTCCTGGCTGGACCACCCCGGCGATGCGGCAGGGTCCGCGCGCGGGCAGCCGGGCACCGGGCAGTAGACGCGGGCCCGCCGTCGGGCTGCAGGGCGGGGCGCGGCGGGGGCTGGCGGCGGCGGCTCCGCGGCAGGCGGCGGCGCGGCAGCCACGGCTGGCTCCGCAGCGTGCCGGGGTCCCCCGTCTGCCGGCATGGCCGGAAGCTGCTAGGCGCCCGCGTGGGCAGCTCCTTCCAGCGCTGCTCTCCGACGCTGCTCGGCCAGTGGCACGCCCGCGTCCTCGTCCATGCCGTTCGCGTCGTCGAGGCGCATGCTGTTGATTCGCTCGTGGAGGAGGGGGTCGTCGCCAGGTTCGTCCCCTTCCGTGCGGTTGCGCCTGAGCGCGCGGCGGCCCGGAGAAGCACGGGCGCCGACCTCCAAGAACGTGTTCCTGACCGACACCTCTGGTTCGACCTCCATTTGCCCAGGACATGCGCTCGATGAAGTTGCCGTCCCGGGCGGCGGGGGAGGCGGCGCCACTCGTCGAGGCGAGGTGGAGCGGTCGCGCTCCGGCCGGTTCGCGGAGCCCCTGGTGCACGTACACCTGTTCATCTCCTAATGGCACGTGCCGCACACTCCTCCGCTCCCCGAGCCTGCTGGGAAAGCTGGGGCCATGAGGGTCCGGACGATCAGCACCGCGGGGCCCCTGGCCCCGCGGCGGGCGGCGGGCAGCGCACCCCTCCGTCCTCCTCCTCCTCCTCCTCCTCCTCCTCCTCCTCCTCCTCCTCCTCCTCCTCCTCCTCCTCCTCCTCCTCCTCCTCCTCCGACCCCATCGTAGCCGTTCTGGCCCCGAGGCCCGGCGCAGGAGGCGGGGAGAGCACTCCCCCGTCCTCCTCGTCCTCCTCCTCCCCTCCTCCTCCTCCGTCCTCCTCCTCCTCCTCCTCTCCTCCCCTCCTCCTCCTCTCCCTCCTCCTCCTCCTCCTTCCTCCTCCTCTCCTCCTCCTCTTCCTCCACCCCAGCGTAAACAGCCTTTCTGTTCTGGCCCCCGGCCCCGCGTCAGTAGGCGGGGAGAGCCTCCCCCCCAGCCCGTCCTCCTAGGCTCCTCGTCCTCATGTTCCTCCTTTTCCTCCTCCTCCTCCTCCTCCTCCTCACTCTCCTCCTCCTCCTCCTCCTCCTCCTCCTCCTCCTCCTCCTCCTCCTCCCCCTCCTCCTCCTCCGACCCCAGCGCAGCCGCTCTGGCCCCCGGGCCCCGCGGCAGGCGGCGGGGAGCGCACCCCTTGCCGCGGAAGGGCGCCCCGCGGCAGTGCGCTGGGATGAGCGCCGCCCTCGCCGCGCGCTCGGCTCCGGCCGCGGTGCCAGAGGGGGGCCCGCCGCCGCCGGAGTGTGCAGCGGGCTCGGCGGGGCGGGGGCCTCGAGACCTTCGAGCGTTGGCGAAGCCTCCTGGCGTGCCTATGGGCCTACAGACGTTGGCGAAGCCTCCTGGCGTGCCTATAGACCTTCGAGCGTTGGCGAAGCCTCCTGGCGAAGCCTCAAGTCTGGACGCCCGAGATGGGCACGGAAGGAATGGGTACGATGCCCAGCAGCAGTTCCTGTTCATTCTGAGCAGGATTCGCTGTCCACGCCGCCGCGGCCTGTGCACGTCTGAGACAGGAGGCCACCTTCCCCACAGCGGCCGCTGCTGGTTTGGGACAACACTTGTTGTTGGGCATTGTACCCATTCTTTCGGTACCCATTTCGGGTGTCCAAATCAAGACTTCGAGCAGTGGCGAAGCCTCCTGGCGTGCCTATAGGCCTACAGGATCCGGCTGGAATGAGGATCGGCGGCGCGCAGAGGGGGGTAAGGGGGAGGGGGGGAGGCTTTTCAGGAGGAGGCTGCTGCTTAAAAGGCGCCGGCCTTGCATGTTGTAGACAGTGCCCGCGCCTTCTAAGAAGCAGGGGTGCTTCGAAGAAGCCTTCCCCCCTCCCCATGCCCCCCTGTGCGCGCCGCCAAAAGGAACACTTCCTTTCCAAAAGGGGCTCGGTCGTTCCTTCGGTTTGCATGCGTTCCGCTACCTTTTTGGCGGCGACCCCCCTGGTGTTCCTTCGGACTTCCTAGACGTACCTGGAAAAAAGGAGGCTTCGTTTCTTATTTATCGTTCCTCAGGTCAGGCCGAATACTGTACCAAACAATGTTCTGAGAACATTTTGTGATTTACACGAAATGTTCTTAGAACGCTTCTGGCTGGGACTGTCTTGTTTGAACACATCGGGCTTACGTTATATAAGAACATTGTGTTTGTTCTTAGAACATTTTGGGGGTCTAGAAACATGCCGTGGTAGGCCTATGGGAATGCCGGGACGGTCGGTCCCTGCCCATAACGAGGGTCAGCCAGTGCGCTGGATCTTGCAGGATCCTGCAGGGCCAGGGTCGCATTGATCAGGAGAGGAAAAGGTACCCATGCCTCTAGCCTCTGGCCCTTTTTCCCCTTTTGGGACCCCCTCGGATCCGCCTCGGAACTCTGCAGGCCAGAACGCACCCCGGGAGAGGTCCGGGGACTAGCGGCATCGGTACCTTTTGGTCTCCCCAATTGGCCCGGGCTTGGGTGCAGGAGCCTGCAGGATCGTGCAGGATCCTTCGCATGGGCCCGGGCTTTCGGGCCGAACGAAAGTGGGGCAGGGGGGGGGGTACGGAATCTGCTGCATGCAGCTGGTTCCGCCTTGCCGCCGGGCCAGTCCTCGATACATGGGGCGCCTCCCGGCGCCGGGAGGCGCTGGGAGAAGCAGCTACGTGAGCTGATTCTCAGACCCCCCCCCCTTGCTCTCCCTCGCAGGCCTAGAGGTTGACACCAACACCAATTTCGGCGGTGTGCCTTAACCGAGGGAAGAAGATCCCGATCTCGGTGATGGTGGTAATGTTTCGGCGTCCAAGGTGGCCGAACTATTGCCACCAACACCGAAATCGAGGATCATCTTCCCCCTGTGGAGGCAACCCCCTGTGTTGGTGTTGGTGCCCATTTCCAGGCCTCCAATCCCCCCCTTGCGCCCGGCCCGAGGCTCGGGCGCAGCGGGTCTTGCAGGCCCTTTGCGGGAGAGTCTGCAGGGCCTGGCCGGCCCGGGTCGGGAGCGGGGCCCCGGCCAGAAGTTACCAGCCTGGAACATATCCCTGTCCCTCTGCTTGGCACCTCCTCATCACGATGCCAATCTTAGGGATCCCCTTTTATCTTTTGAGGGCGAGTCCCTAGGGTTGTCCTCGCCTCTTGGCGTGCCAATCTTAGGGATGGGGATGCGTTCGAGGCCGGTAGAGAAGGGCTCTCCCCGAGGCGGCGGCGGCCCCGCCCGTGCTCAGCCTGCGCCAGGTGCGCAGCGGGAGCAAACTTCGGAGGGAAAAAATCAGACAGACACGATTAACAGGCCAGCCACAACTGTAAAACGACGCGAAGATCGGGACAAAATCGGATCGGGATAACTCGAAATCTCGGAGAATCGGCGGGTTTGGAGGATGTACCGGGCGCCGCGGCCGCTCCAGAGCGTTCCGGAACGCTCTGAGAGCGCTCCGGAACGCTCTGGAGCGATTTATCCCGATCCTAGTCCTGTTTTAGGGAGCTGTGGTCCTTACCCCCCTGGGGGACCATTCGATTTCGACACCCCTCTCGAGAGATCGTCGAGGCGATGGGTTCCCCCAGGGGGGGAAGGACCACAGCTCCCCCACTCATGGCTGGTCGGATTGATCGTCGATTCCCAGGAAAGTATGGGAAAGCATGGGAAGTGGGGGGGGAGACAGAAGCTCTGAAGACATGGGAAAAAATAGGGGGTGGACAGAACCCCCAACAGTGACACGTCGATTCGTGAATTGTCCGTTTTCGGTGCTCGAGAGGGCGCCGCGGCCGTTATTGTCCAGGCTTGCGCCCGCCAGGTTTGGGCCTCGGGTCGTTTTCACTGAACCACGTTTTACTAAAGGGGGGTCTGTCCATCCCCGAAAAAATCATACAGACGATTAACCGTCGATTTCCAGGAAAATATGGGAAAGTATGGGAAGTGGGGGGGGGAGGCAGAAGCTCTGAAGACATGGGAAAAGATGGGCAATCCTGCTGTTCGTGTCTATGCATTTGTGTGTCCCAGGGCCCCTTCAAAAACAGGGTCGTTTTCGCCGACATTGGTGCGTAAACGTAAGTCTGGCATGTCCCTCTACAGGAGGAGTATACAAAAATATGGTCAAAAGTAGTCTGGGGACGGTGTTTTGAGTGTGTTTGAGGACCATTTGGGGGTTTTTGTTTTTTTTCGCCAAAAAATCCGCCTGTAGGGGGACACGCCCGACCTGAGCATTAGCTCCCTGCGTAGGGCCGCGCGGAAGTGCCCTCGCTTCGGATGCGGCGTGCCGCGCCGGCGGCCCACGTAAGCCGCCGCGTGAGGTCGCTGCGCCATCTCGCGCAAGACCCGTTTTTGAGCGTCGCTCAGGTGATCTTCGACCCCGCAGGCTGCCTGTCGGTCCCGCTCGTCGCCGTCGGCGGGTGCGTGGTCGTGCTGGACCTGGAGGCGTCGAGAAGGGGTCGGCTGCAGAATCGATCTGCCCCCAGATTGTTTTTGCTCGCTGAGTCATGCGTATCCATCGGTCGTTGAAAGCAGGTATTTTGGGGTTCCCAGATTCGAGAGAGCGTGATCCACCGCCGCCTTACTGTGGAAAATTCCCCCCCCCTCTTCCTGCGGAACCCGGGCGTCCCCCCCCCCCTCCCCCTCCGAAAATCCCCACCCCCTGCCTGACCCCCCCCTTCTCCCCCCGGCAAAACCCCCCCCCTCCCCCCCTCCAGAAAACTGGTGGGGGTCACTACCGGTTCGAACCCCCTCTCCCTAGAAAACCAGAGGGGGGTCACTACCGGTTCGAGCCCCATCGCCCCTCCCCCTCCAGAAAACTGAAGGGGGGGGGGTCACTACCGGTTCGAACCCCCCCCCCCCCTTCAGAAAACCGGGGCGGGTCGCTACCAGTTCGAGCCCCTTCCCCTCCCGCACGCTCACCGCCAGCAAACGACTCCCAGGTCCCTACCACCGTCCGCACCAAATCCCCCACTGCTGTCCCCAGCACCACTGTCCTCACCACCACTGTTCCCACCACCGTCCCCACTGTCCCCACCAGTGCCCCCATCACTGTCGCACTGTCCCCACTGTCCCCACCACTGTCCCCACTGTACGTCTGTCCCATTGTCCCACCGCCGTCCTCGCCACCGCCCTCACCACTGTCCCCACCACCACTGTACCCTCAATTGTCCGACTGTTTCCACCACATTCCCACTGTCCCCACACCACTGTCCCCACCAGCACCGTCCCCATCACTCTCCCACTGTCCCCACTGTTCCCACCATTGTCTCCGCTGTCCCCACCAGGGCCCCCACCAGTGTCTCACTGTCCCCACTCTCCCCACCATTGTCCCACCACGGTCCCACTTTCCCCACTTTCCCCACGGTCCCCACCACTGTCCCCGCCGCTGTCCCACTGTGCTGTCCCACCGTCCCGACTGTCCCCATCACTGTCCTATTGTCCCCACCACTTTCCCCACTGTACTACTGTCCCACCACTGTCCTCACCACCGCCTTTACCACTGTCCCCACCTCTACTGTCCCCACCACTGTCCCACTGTCCCCACCACTGTCCCGCTGTCCCCTCACCACTGTCCCCACCACCGTCCCCACCACTGTCCGCACCACTGTCTCACTGTCCCCGCACCACTGTCCCCACCACCACCGTTCCCACCATGGAAAGTGCGCCGACTCTTGTTCGTGGACCCACGGGCATCCTACCCAGCGGTCGGAAGGAGCAGGTGGGAACATGAAGTAGGAAGGAGGTGAAGATAGGGCTTCCGCGCGCACCCTGAAAAGGACGGAACGGTGAAGCCACTCTAGGCGGCGAGCCAGGGGGGGAAATGAGAAGGGGCGGGCCTTCTCAGAAGGCTCGGAAATCCCCCGGACTTCTGAGAAGTTTGCTAAGCCTTGCCCGCAGACAGAAACAATTTCTCAGAAGGCGCGAGGGCTTCCTACAAGTCCCGCCGCCATTTGAGATGGCCTTCTTCTTCTCAATTCCCCCCCTCGCTCGCCGCCGACACTCGATCATTGAAGTAGGAAGGCGCTCAAAGTAGATTGGAAGAGCGTGTTCTACCGCTGCTGGCGGAAAACTGGGGGGGTCACTGGGGGTTCCCAACCCGTCCCCCCCCCCTCGAAAACCGGGGGGGGGATCACTATCAGTTCAAACCCCTCCCCCGGCCTCCCCCCCCCGTCCATCATGAAAAGGGGAGGGGGGGATCACTGCCGGTTCGAACCCCCCCCCTCGAAAACCGGGAGGGGTCACTACCGGTTCGAACTCCGGCCCCCCTCGCCGCCGGCAAACGATTCCCGCTCCTCGGGACAGTTGGACAACGGTGGGGATGCTAGGACAATGGATCCGGCGAACAAATTCAGTTTTGGACACGTCAATTCTGTCCTCGACCCCCTTGCGAGCAGTATTTATGTCCATATCCACTGCAGTATGGAGTTCCGGGCTCCCCTCCCCAGAAACCCGAGGCGCACTGGATATGGACAAATTTGCCCCCTAGAGGCTCGATGTTTATCCATGTCCAGAGCACCTCGGCCTTGTGGCGCCCCTTGCAAAAACATCGAAGGCGCACTGGATATGGATATAAATCTTGTCCTCGACCCCCTGCTCGAAGGCGGGGCGCCTGGACCTCTCGGCCGACGGCGCGAAGCTCATCGTCAGCCTCGCCAGGCTCGACCGGGCGAGCGCCGACGGGCTCCGCGCGGGGCGCGCCGGGGGCAGCGGCAGCTCAGGAGGAGGGCGAGCTGCGGCCCCAGACACGATCCAGGAGGGAAAAAACACTCAGACACAATTAATCGTCGATTCCCCAGAAATGTTGGAAAATATAGGAAGTGGGGGGGAAGACAGAGACCCAGAAAATATTGGAAAATATGGGGAATGTTTTTCTTAGTGTGTATTTCTTTGTGTGTCCTGGGGCCCCCTCACACAATGGCGTCGTCAAAGCCTCAGGGCGGAGATTTTCTTCGCCGTTGAAACTTCATCACGGAGGTTTTTTCGTCGTTAAAACCTCAGGACAGGAGGGCGAGCTGCGGCCCCAGACACGATCGCGCCGTCAAAGCCTCAGGGCGGAGGTTTTTATCGGCCGTTAAAACCTCATCACGGAGGTTGTTTCGTCGTGAGAGCCCCAGGACAGGAGGGCGAGCTGCGATCCCAGACACGATCGCGTCGTGAAAACCTCAGGACAGGAGGAGTTTCGCCGTTTTCGACCTCTATAGAGGCCCTCACCGGGCCCTGGACCGTGAACAAAACGACTCCGGATGGAGAGCCGGTCCTGGGGAAAGGGCCGGGGCTGACGGGAACCGCGTAGTGAAAAAATCAAGGCGTCGCATGTCTGGAGCTGCGACGGCGGCAGGGGGTCTTCGGGGGGCCCTCTCGTCGCCACGACCGGGCGCAGCTCGGTGGCCACGTGCGAGCCCTGCCCCACCACCCCACGGCTTCTAAGGGGGGAGGCTCGGTATTCGGCACCCTTCGGTATTCTGCCGCGCTCCGCGCGGAAAACGTCAACACGGCGTTCCAAGGCCCTTGCATCCTTACCCATCGGTCGTTGAAAGTAGGTATTTTTGGATTCCCAGATTCCAATCTACTTTCAGCGCCTTCCTACTTCAAGAGTCGAGTGGTTTTCCCTCTTCCTTCCTCTTCAGGAGGCGTGCGGAAACCAAATCTATTTCCAACGCCTTCCTACTTCATGTTTCTACCTACTTCTTCCGACCGATGGGTACCGCGCATCCTTACTATCCTGGTCGCGTCTGGGCCCCCGGAGGGTCGATGAAGAAGCAGGGCGGTCCGCGCGGACTTCTCGGGACTGCTCTGGCCCCCCCCCCCCCCCACGCGGCGCGCGGTGCGCGCCGCGGGGGCGGCGCCGAAGGCTCTGCCCGGGGGGGCCCAGCGCAGATCATCCGAGAACGGTGCGCGGGCCGTCGGAGGTTTCTGATGATGCTGCTGTGTCTCAGGCGGGGACAACACACACAGGCACAAGCAATCGTGCATCCCCAGGAGAACATGGGAAACTGTTGGACGTGGGGGGGAAAGACGATAATCAATATATATATATATATACATATATATATGAGTGAAAGTGGAATGCGGGGAATCCTGGGATTTGTGTGTGTGTTTCTTTGTGTGTCCCTGGGTCTCTTTTGTTTCTTTCTCCAGAGGGCTTGGCATCGCTCGGCCGTGTGCATTTTTCCCTCTGGCGAGGACCATCGAGGAGCAGGCTTGGTCATTTGGCGAAACAACCACGCACGAAACCGAATAAAAACACAGGAAATGGACGTCCGAGCGATGGCGAGTCCCTGGGTCTCCTCAGTTTCTCTCTCCAGAGGGGCCCCGGTGCCGACGTGAGCTGCCGCCGCCCCCGCGCGCCCCGCTCCGAGCGTCGGGGCGCGGGTGGTCGCCGTCGGCCGCGTGCGCAAGGAGAAGCGGCGCACCTTCCTGGAGGCGCACGCGGTCAGCAGCGCGCCGGCGGGGTGATGGCGCAGCCCTCCTCCTCCTCTCTGGAGGGAGGCAAAACACACAGCCACAATGAATCGTCGATTCCCCAGAAAATATGGGAAAAGATGGGAAGTGGGGGGGAAGACAGAGACCCAGAAGATATGGGAAAACATGGGGAATAGTTTTATCAGTGTGTACTTATTTGTGTGTCCCAGGGCCCCTTCATTCTCCTCCCGCTCGTGCCCTCTTCGCCTCCGTCGTCTGCCTCCTCTGCCCTCCTCTCCCCCTCCCTCCTTCCGCTCGGGGGGAAGAACAGCTGCATATACACACGAACGTCCAGAGCCCCGCGCGGATCTCTCGGGTCCGCCCTGGCGGCGCCTCCCGCCCCGCTCGGGCGCGCTCCGCGAGGCAGGGAGGGGGGGTGCCCAGCGCCGCTCCAGGGAGGCTGCGCGGACCTCGGAGGAGTTTGTGCTTACGTGTTCTTGCTGCTCCTCGATCCGCCTCTTCCCCACCCCCTCCTCCGCATGGCTCCTCCTCGCCCTCCTCCTCCTCCTCCTCCTCCTCCTCCTCCTCCTCCTCTCCTCCTCCCTTCTCCTTCTCCTTCTCCTCCTCTCCCTCCTCCTCCTCCTCCTCCTCCTCCTCCTCCTCCTCCTCCTCCTCCCCCCCCCCCTCCTCCTCCTCCTCCGCTCCTCCTCCTCCTCCTCCTCCTCCTCCTCCTCCTCCTCCTCCTCCTCCTCCTCCTCCTCCTCCTCCTCCTCCTCCTCCTCCTCCCCCTCCTCCTCCTCCTCCTCCTCCTCCTCCTCCTCTCCTCCTCCTCCTCCTCCCTCCTCCCCCCCCCTCCCTCCTCCTCCTCCTCCTCCTCCTCCTCCTCCTCCTCCCTCCTCCTCCTCCTCCTCCTCCTCCTCCTCCTCCTCCTCCTCCTCCTCCTCTCCTCCTCCTCCTCCTCCTCCTCCTCCTCCTCCTCCTCCTCCTCCTCCTCCTCCTCCTCCTCCTCCTCCCCCTCCTCCGCCCTCGTGGATTGTGCACGGGATCCCCCTGGAAATCTTCACGGGAGGAGTGACTTTTGTCCCAGGGCACCGCCTCCGGAAGCCCAGCATGGCAGGGCTGCGCGTGCTGCCCCCTTCTAAGTGCCATTGGGCACCCGGCTCATGCATTCACCCCACCAGTACAGCCATCGTGCTATCAGAAGCAGCGCTGAACAGGGAACGACGGAGCTGTCCAGGCCACGGCAAGCCTCGGCTCCGAACAGGTTCCAGCGCCCAGATCTGGGGAACGGCTCCGAACAGGTTCGGGCACCCAAACCTAGAGAACAGCCCGAAAACCAATGGCCCCTCCTGAGCCCAAAGTGATCCTTGTCTGTTCAAACGCCCCTCGGGGGGCAGACACCGCCGCACCACTGTTCGTTGGAGCCCTGCGTGCCCTCTTCAGGGGGTGTCCAGCACGGCCCCAGCACGGCCCCAGAGGGTCCAAGAAGCCTCGGAAGACGGCGCAAGAGGTCGGCAGGAGGATTCGAGGGCGGCATGAAAGTGTACCGAGCGTGTCCAAGTTTGGGGGCGACATTGGTGAGGAGGGGAAGAGCACGGACACAATTGATCATCGACTCCCAGGGAAAGATGGGAAGAGATGGGAAGTGGGGGGGAAGACGAAAACCCAGAAGATATTGGAAAGCATGGGGAATCCTGGTCCTGGGATGTATTCAGCTGTGTGTCCCAGGGCCCCTTCAGCCACAGTGCTAGAGGGGTGGGGTTCGAAGACGGCCTCAGAGGGAGCTCGGACACGCCACAAAGCGTGCATGCCAGAAGAGCGCGAAGGGGGAGGGTCTACGACGGCTCCTCTTTCTCTAATCACGCCAGCGCGACGTCTGTGGGAGGGGCCGACGGCGGCCCCAGAGGGCCCCAGAGAGCGCGGAAAAGAGCCCCAGAGGATCCCCAGAAGGCCCCCAAGAGGCGCCGAAAAAAAAACGGGCGGACAGGGCCCCGAGATGTGTCGAAAGCACGACGGGAGGGAACCGAAGAGGGACACGGACGGCAGAAAGGAGCACGGCCACTTACTCCAGGTTTCGTAATAAAAGGGAGGGGGTCTGGACCCTCCAAGACAAGCCATTTCAGACCTCCCCCGTGGGAGAACCCTCCAAAACATCGTCCCCAGGACCCCCCAGGCCCTCCAAGATAGCCTGGAAGAGACCCCCCCCCGAAATGAGACCCCCCCTCCCTTTATTACGAAATCTGGAGTAGTTCTGGGGCCTCAGAAGGCTGTCCAGGGACCTCCTGGGCGCGCCCAAGACGACCCAAGAGGGCGCGAAAAGAGCTGCCAGACGGCCCAAGATGGGTCCGGGAGACCTTCAGGACGGCCCAGAAGGCTTTGGACATATTTCCAACGTGGCCTGAGAGAGGCCCCAAGAGTGCCACAAGGTGCTGCAAGAGAGCTCGAACAGGCGCAAAGAGAAGGCCGAAGCGGCGAAAATCGTACAAATCCCTTGGGTTTGGGAAGGTTTTGGGCTTCTAATGCCTCGAAGAAGGCTTCGGAGGGGTCCGAGACGGCTCCAGAGGGTCCCAAGAAGGGGCCAAATGAATCCAAGACGGCTCCAAGAGACTCCGAAGAATGCCTTCGAGGGTTTCTAGAGAGGTCCTGAACGGCACCCAGAGGCGTCCGGAAGTCTCCCGTGCAAAGTCAGGAGGAGAAAAGACACACAGACACAATGAATCGCCGATGCCCCAGAAAATATGGGAAAATATGGGCAGTGGGGGGGAAGACAGAAACCCAGAAAATATGAGAAAATATGGAGAGTACGTTTATGTGTGTGTATTGATTTGTGTGTGTCCTGGGGCCCATTCACAAAGGCCTGCATGAGCTGAGGCCGAAATGGCGGCCAGCTGACGCCCAGGGTGCAGCCAGGGCCCCCGGGCCGGCGGACGGAGCAGGCCGCGGGGGGGACCCCAGGAGGGCTTGTCGGGGCTCTGAGGAAGGGACCTCCTCCTCCTCCTCCTCCTCCTCCTCCTCCTCCTCCTCCTCCTCCTCCTCCTCCTCCTGCTCCTCCTCCTCCTCCTCCTCCTCCTGCTCCTCCCCCTCCTCCTCCTCCTCCTCCTAGTGCGTGGGCAAGCGACTGAGGGGAAAGAATTACTGCGGACCATGCGGCGGGGATCTCACACGCCGTGCCTGGTGGGCCGGCGGATCACTTCGCTCATTCCGCCGGCCTGTATTGTACCATCGTTGGCGTTTGCTTGCGCGTTCGGACCATGCGGCGCTGATTGGCGGAGGTCTTTTTACGCAGGCGTTGCGACAGCAGGCCTGGAGGTGAAGTAGCTGGTTTGGAGCTTGTCGTGGGCGTTCTGGTCTCTACTCGAGCAGTGGCGAAGCGTCCTGGCTCGCCTATAGCCCCACCAAACAATGTTCTCATAACCTTTTGTGGTTTGCACGAACTGTTCTTAGAACATGTCTGGCTGCAGCTGTCTTGTTTTAACACATCGGGCTTATGCTCTTAGAACATGGCTGTTGTTCTAAGAACATTCTTGGGTTCTAAGAACATTTCGTGGTAGGACTATAGGAATGCCGGGACGGTCGGTCCCTGCTCAATCTATTGTCCCACCGCCATGCCTGGGTTGTGGGTCAGTGTTGGGAAGCCGAATAGGCGAGAACGCCAAAATCTGTCGGAAACCTCGGGAAATCAAAGATTTTGGCCTCTTGGGGTTTCTTGGGAGTGCTCTCAGAGGCCTCTGGTGGCGCCTCGGAAGCCTCGTATCGGGGGCATCTTGGGGCCCATCTTGGGGCCCGTCTTGGGGTGGCCCCAGGAGTTCGGGCATCCTTGACCGGAGCGTCTCGGGAGTGTCTCCAGGTGCTTTTCGACCGGGGACCCCTAGGGGCCGCCACGCGCGCGCGAACTAGAAACATTATAGTCTTAGCACGCCTCTGGCCCGTTGGGCCGGCGAATTTCACCATCTTGGCAGTACCATGCATGGCCTCCAGTGTTGGCGTTGCGGCCCATGTCCAGGAACACACAGCATGAGCAGAAACTTGCGACAGTCCGCGCGGACTTCTTGGATCGGCGCTGGGGCCCCCATGGCGGCGCCTCCGGTGCTCCGGTGCTGCTTCTGGCGCGCTCCGCGCACCAGGGTGGGGAGTCCAGCGCCGATCCAAGAAATTAGCGCGGACCTCCGAGAAATTAGGTTTACAGTGCCAGGACCAGGGCAACATCGACCAGGACATATCGGCAACCTCTGAGATCGCTCTCGTCGTGCCGTTTCTGCTCCTCCATGCTGGGGCGCTCAGATTCCGGGCGAAGCTGCAACGGCTATGGGACCACGGGCTGAAGCAGACAGCGCGAGGATTTGTTCCACCAAGTTGGACAGGTCTGGCCCGATTCAGGAGGGAAAGAAACACACAGACACAATTAATCCTCGATTCCCCAGAAAATATGGGAAAATATGGGAAGTGGGGGGGAAGACAGAAACCCAGAAAATATATGAAAATATGGGGAATATTGTTATTTGTGCGTATTTATTTGTGTGTCCTGGGGCCCCTTCACCGATGGTGCGCGTGGCGTCCATGTCCGCCGCTCGCTGCCCCGGGAGCGCAGGAGGGAGCGCCTGCTGCGATGGATCCGCAGGGGCTTCGCCCCCCCGGCCGCCGGCCTCCTCCCTATTAGAGTGGGGGTCTGTCAAAGCTACGTTGGGAGGCAGGAGGGGAAAAAAACACAGACACAGTGAATCGTCCACTCCCAGGAACATAGGGGAAAATAGGGGAAGTGGGGGGGAGAGGGAAACTCAGAAAATACAGGGAAATTGTATCTGTGTGTATTCCTTTGTGTGTCACAGAGCCCCTTCAGGGAGGTTTGGGCGCCGTCTTGAAGACATGTGGGAACATCATGCGAGGACGGATGGGAGTCCGCAGAACATCCTCAGACGTCGGGGTTCACGGTGGTGTCTTCTTACAGCGCTGCCCTCGTGTTGAGCATGAGCTGCCCTCTGGGTACGACTGGGGGTTGCCTTAGGCCATCTTGGGCCAAAGCGCGGGTTTAAGACTGTCTTCAAGTTCCGGGCATCCTGCACTATTTTCGAGGATTTGTGGTTGCGGGTCCCCCGCCGCATTTTCAAGGAATGGGGGGGGGGGCCGACAAGCGCCCCCCGAACACAAGTCCCAATACAGACAATTTCTGTTCCCAACCTTCCCTTGGTTGGGCACTCGTTTTGAATAGGGCACTGTATGCCCCGTCCTGCTCCTCGCCCCTCTCCTCCAGCCCCCTCCCTTCTCCCTCCTCTCCCTCTCTCCTCCCGCTTGCGTCCTTCCTCGTGCCCGCGGCTCGCTCGGGTGTCGTCACTTGCGTGGCGGAGGTACCGTGGGTTCCTGGGAGACCCGGCGGGGGTGCGTCGTACGCAGATCACCATGAGACCTCACCGTCCCTTGGGGGGGCGCCGGGATCCGAGAAGCTGTCGCCACTTTCGGGGGAGTCCCGAGAGGCTCAGCGGAGGTGCGTCGTACGCAGATCACCATGAGACCTCGCCGGTCCCCTGGGTGGCTGCGACTTGCGAAACTGTCGCCACTTTCGTGGGCTCCTGGGAGGCCCAGCGGAGGTGCGTCGTACGCAGATCACCATGAGACCTCGCCGTCCCCTTGGGGGGGCTGCGATCTTCGAACTTGTCTCCACTTTCGGGGGGGTCCTGAGAGGCCCAGCGGAGGTGCGTCTTACGCAGATCACCGCGAGACCTCGCCGTCCGCTGGGGGGCTGCGTCCTGCGAAACCGTCGCCACTTGTGTGGGCTCCTGGGAGGCCCAGCGGAGGTGCGTTTTACGCAGGTTTCCATGAGACCTCGCCGTCCCTTGCGGGGCGGCGATCTGCGAAACTGACACCATGTTCGTGGGTTTCTGGGATGTCCCAGCGGGGTTGCGCATTACGCAAATCATCACGAGACCTCGCCGTCCCTTGAGGGGCCTGCGATCTGCGAAATTGTCGCCACTTTGGTGGGCTCCTGGGAGGCCCAGCGGAGGTGCGTCTTGCGCAGATCTGCGCGAGACCCCTGAGGGGCTGCGATCTGCGAGAGACTTCGCCGTCCCTTAGGGGTCACGATCTGCGAAACGGCCGCCACTTTCGTGAGCTCCTGGGAGGCCCAGCAGAGGTGCGCCTTACGCAGATCACTATGAGACCTCGCCGCCCCCTGGGGGGGCTGCGATCTGCGAACCTGTCGCCACTTTCGTGGGCTCCTGGGAGGCCCAGCGGAGGAACGTCGTACGCAGATCACCATGAGACCCCGCCGTCCCCTTGGGGGGCTGCGATCCGCGAAACGATCGCCACTTTCGTAGGCTCCTGGGAGGCTCGGCGGAGGTGCGTCTTACGCAGATCACCACGAGACCTCACCGTCCCCTGGGGGGCTGCGATCTGCGAAACCGTCGCCTCTGTCGTGGGCTCCTGGGAGGCTCAGCGGAGGTGATTCGTACGCAGATCACCGCGAGACCTCGCCGTCCCTTGGGGTGCGATCTGCGAAACGGTCGCAACTGTCGTGGGCTCCTGGGAGTTCCAGCGGAGGTGCGTCTTACGAGGATCACCATGAGACCTCGGCGTCCCGTGGGGTGGGGGCCGCGATCTGAGAAACTGTCGCCACTTTCGTGGGCTCCTCGGTGGCCCAGCGGAGGTGCGCCTTACGCAGATCACCATGAGACCTCGCCGTCCCCTCGGAGGCTGCGGTCTTCGAAACTGTCGCCACTTTCGAGTGCGCCTGGGAGGCCCAGCGGAGGTGCGCTTTACGCAGATCACCATGGGAATTCGCCGTCCCCGGGGGGGCTGCGATCTGCGAACCTGTCGCCACGTTCGTGAGATCCTGGGGGGCCCAGCTGAGGTGCGGCTTACGCAAATCACCGCGAGACCTCGTCGTCTTTGGGGGGGGGGCTGCGGGACCGCGTCGTCCGCTGGGGGGCTGCGATATGCGAAACTGCGGCCACGTTCGAAGGCTCCTGGGAGGCCCAGCGGAGGTGCGTCGTACGCAGATCACCATGAGACTTCGCCGTTCTTTGGGGGGGTGCGATCTGCGAAACCGTCGCCTCTGTTGTGGGCTCCTGGGAACCCCAGCGGAGGTGCGTCTTACGCAGATCACCACGGCACCCTTGGAGGGCCGCGACTTGCGACATTGTCGCCGGGACGCCCAGCGGAGGTGCGCCTTACGCAGATCACCGCGAGACCTCGCCGTCCCCTGGGGGGGCTGCGATCTGCGAAACGGTCGCCACTTTCGTGGGCTCCTGGGAGGCCCAGCGGAGGTGCGTCTTACGCATAGTTATCACCATGAGACCTCGCCGTCCCCTGTGGGGGCTGCGATATGCGAAACTGTCGCCACGTTCGTGGGCTCCTCGGAGGCCCAGCGGCGGCGCGTCTTACGCAGATCACCATGAGACCTCGCCGTCCTCTGGGGGGCTGGGTTGCGACGTTGGGGGGCCCAGCGGCGCTGCTCTCACGAATTGTGTCTCTCATGGTCTCTCCTTATTGTGTTTCCACACTCCCTCGTGGCCGCCTTCCTGCCAACGATCTGACTCGTAAGAGCGACGCCGCATATGTGAACATGTGACTCTGGTCCGACGTTCTTTGGCGAATCGTTCAAGGGCACGGCGGATCCTTCATTGCTCGTTTTTGTATTGAACGGCCCGATGTATAGTGGCCTCATCTGTACAAAGGGTTGGGTACGTCCCTGGATATTTTTCTGCTCTGGTGAGGGGGTGGCGCCTTCGGGCAGCCTCCGCGAGGTGTGTTCGTGGCCTCAGGGGCGCGAACGTGGCATAAGTTACAGAGCATCGTGGCCTCGGGGGCGCGAACGTTGTATAATTTACTCGGGATCGTGGCCTCGGGGGCGCGGACGTCAATTTGAAAGGATTCGTGGCTTCGGGGGCGCGAGCGTGGCGTAATTCGCTGGGGATCGTGGCCTCTGGAGCGCGAGCGTGGCGTGATTTTTTGAAGAGGATCGTGGCCGCGAGTGCAGCGTAATGTATGGTGGAACGTTGCTTCGGGGGCGCGAGCGTGGTGCAGCTTACGAAGGATCGTGGCCTTGGGGGCGCGAGCGCGGTGCCATCTGCAAAGGATCGGGGCTCCGGGTGCGCGAACGCAGCGTAAGCGGCGCGCGAACGTAGCGCAATTCACACCGGATCGTGGCCCAGGGGTAGGGGCCCTACAGTGCCGTTTTTAATGCATGCTCCGCGTGAGGATCCTGCATTAAAAATGGAGGGATTTCGTATAAAAAACAACGATGAGTTCATGCATACGTCTATTCGTAAATAAAAAATCATGCCATATGTTTAAAAATCCTATGTATTAAAAACTGCCCCGGAGGGGTCGTGGCCTCGGGGGCGCGAGTGTTGTGCGGTTTGCGAGGGCGAGGCTTCGTGGCCTCGGGGGCGCGAGGGCGGCACAATCTGGAAGGGGAGCGGGGCTCCTCTCCGCAGCGCGAGCGTGGCGGCATCTGCAGGGGGATCGTGGCCGCGAGCGTGGTGTGATGTCTGGTGGGGCGTGGCTGTGGGATCGCCAATGCGGTGTGATTTGCAGTCAAGGGCTGGCAGGGTAGACCTGGGCATATCACGCGTGTCGCGCGGCGTCCTGGCGGCTCTCAGGCCTCTGGGAGCTCCCAGGAGGTTTACGGACCACGCACTTGTAACCCAGGGTGGGGGCGTTTGTGCATCCCTCAATACAGGGGCTCGTGGCCTCGGGGGCGCGAGTGTTGTGTAATTCACTAGGGATCGCAGTTTCGGTGGCCGAACTCTGTGCAATTATAAGGGATTGTGGCTTCGGGGGGCGCGACTGCTGGCCTCGCGGGCGCGAGTGTTGCGCAATCCATAAGTGATCGTGGCGCGCGAACACGGTGTAGCCTTAGAGGGATTATGGTATCAGGCGCGAATTTGCTGCAATTTGCAAGGGATCGTGGCCTCGGGCACGCGAGCGTGGCTTAATTTACAAGTACAAGAGATTACGCCTCACCATCATTCGGTGAAGATCGCCAGGCTCCTTTTCGGCTCCCCCCCCACGCGCGGACAGCAACACGTTGCAGTAGGAAGTAGACAGCAAAACCATACCATTGGAAACTGGAACTGGTGCATGGAGCAGGGCACCTCCGTCACGCAGCCGAATGGTCCCGCAAGGGTGCCGGCGGACTGCGTATTTGTTGCGGTGTTGCATTTAGGGCGTACTGTTGTACAGTATCTTGGATTATACACCGCATGTTGTGTTCTGCTTCGTTGGCCGTCGCAACGCGTGTCTTCAGCATTGGGGAAGCAGTTCAAATCAGCTCTCCTCCAGTTCCTCCTCCTCCTCCTCCTCCTCCTCTTCCTCCTCCTCCTCCTCCTCCTCCTCCTGTCCGCTTCCCTCTCCTCCCACATTTCCCTCCCCGCTCCCACCTTCCTGCTCTCCCTCCCTCCCTCCTCCGCACCCTCCTCCCTTCCCCCCGCCTCCACCTCTCTCCCCCCGCTGTCGTCCTCTCGAGAGACCACCCCGCCGAGCAGGTTCGGGCCCCCAGCCAGCCGGAGAGCCGGGAGGACTTTGGACGCCGACCGAGGCCGAGATTCCCCAGAGAAGAAGGAACCGCCACCACCCCAGACCCGTTCGCGTTGTGAAAAAACGACCGGGAGGCCGAAAATAGCAAAAAACTTGCCGGGGCCCTTGCTGGGCCTCGGGACCGTCAAAACATGATCCAGGACGAGAAATCGGTCCGTGGAAGGGGTCCAGACCTCTGGAGGTCGACGTTACGGGAAAAATCACGACGTCGGGGGTCTGGGACCAGGTCGAGGGGGTGGCTTTGGGGAGCGGAATTCTGTGGAGATTTGGTGGTGGTCGTTCTCTTCGGTTCTCAAGAGAGAGAGAGAGAGAGAGAGAGAGAGAGAGAGAGGGGAGTCATCCCAGACTTGGTTGCTGGTCTCACCGCCTCCGTGTAGGATGCCCTTCTGGCCTCCTCCGCGTGCGCCGCGCAGTCTGGAACCGCCCCTCGGGACGAACGACGAGTCGCAGCCCTGCTCCGCTCCGAGGGGGACTCGGGCGGCGGGGACTCGAGGCAAGAAACACGGGGACCATGACCAAGATGTCGCAGGATTTTGTCGATGACGATTCTTGGGCTTGCGCCGCACCGCTGATCCCTTGGGGGCCTTCTGGCAGCACTTTTCAAGCCTTTTTGGGGCCGTTTTGGGGCCTCTTGGGGCCTCTTTTGGGCTTATGGTGGGCCTCTTGGAACAGGGCGTTCGCCCAGCGGCCGCCTGCCTCGTCGCCGCCTCGCGCGCGGGCGAAGGTCGCCTGGTGTTAGTCCCGTGGCCACCTCGTCGCCGCCCCGGGCATTAGCTGGGTGTTCCGTTTGTTGTCGCCTTGCGGCCGCTCGCCGCCGCCTCGTCGCCGCCGATGCTGGCATTCCGTGGACAGCACACCACGCCACGCAGGGTTCGACACATGCTCTGCACCACCTGGATACCAAGGTTGCCCGACACGTGTTGGACAAGAGCACCTGCATCACATGAATGATTGCATCACGTCGACAGCATCACAGATTTTGCACCACATAGAACAAGACTCGATCCCCATCGTGAGGCAGAGCTTATCGCGTCACCTCCGCGTACTGTGGTTCCCATCTCAATGTTGCACGATCGCCAATCCTGATTGTCGAATGGTACTATCCCAGCCTAGCCGGTGTCACCCCCCCCTCGCACTTGCCAAATAATATCATGTAGCGCAAACGCGTTGATCTCAGAAGCGCGTTGCTTAGCATGAGCCCCTTATCAGATCATACCATGCGGGCCACTGCGCGCGCCGCCGAGCGCGCATGTCGAGATCATCGTTCCGAAGACATTGAATTTCGATACACTTCAAGACAGCGCTTCAAACACAAATGACAGCCACATGCTTTTCAACACAAATGATGCCAGAATTCTGCGCGCACGCTCTCGCTGAAACCATGGTGAAGCCGCGAAGGAAAGAGACCGTACAGAAAGAGGCCCGTGCAAGCAACCAGGGTTTCTCCAGCATGAGGCTTCCAAACCACGACCCAGCATAAAACAAGTGGGGGAGAGAAAAAGAGAGAGCGAGCGCGAGAGAGAGAGAGAGCGAGAGCGAGAGAGAGAGAGAGAGAGAGAAAAAAACAAAAAAAACAAAAACAAGGAGCACACACATCAAAAATAAAAAACAAACGAGTCAAGGAGGCCCGGAGCTGCAGCTCCAGGGCCACGGGATGCCCGGGGCGCGATGACTGCCGCGAGCGGTCCGCGCGGCCAGGCCGCGTACTACGGCCACGACTCCCTGGTGAAGTTCCTGCTGAGCAGGGGCCACCCCATCGACTGCGAGGCCGCCCCCACTGCGCGGCGGCCTCGAGTCATTCTAGGCCCCCTGGATGGGGTCGGAGTAGATGGGGTCGGAGGATCGCGCCGCATCGCCGATGCATCGTCAATGCGGCTCGATGTGGAGCCCGATTTTCTTCACGCGGACGTCGCCGATGCATCGCCGACGTCGCCGGTGCATGGCCGATGCATCGGCGATGCATCGCCGATGTATTGGCGATGCGTCGAGATCCTCCAGCCCCATCCACTCGGACCCCATCTAGGAGGCCTGTTGCTACAGTCGGGGTGCTGAAGAAGGAACCCTTTTCGTTGGGGAGGGGCTCGGTGTTCCTTGATTGTTCAACAGTTTGCCTCAGGTTCTCCTGAGGCTTTCCAGGGGAAATCGAAGTTCAACTCATGGGAAAAAGGGGCCTCGTTCCTTATTTAGGGTTCCTTTGGTCAACGCTCCGACTGTACTGTCGGTCTCGGGGGGCCCTCACCGGCCCCAGGACCGTCAGAAACGACTCGGGGTGAAAAGCCGGTCCCAGGGAAGGGGTCGAGGCCTCTGGAATTCGTCGCTTTCGGGCCGGACGACAAGGCAGGATAGGGTTATGATGTTCCAGCCTACTTTAGCCTTGATCACCAGAAAGAATTTCGAGCACCAGAAAAGTACCCCCAAACTCGAGGGTTTTCACGTGTCGGGCCCGGAGACAGCTCGTCCGACACCGTTTCGACACTGTTTCGACACTCCTTCGACACTTTTCTGGGTGCTCGAAATTATTTCTGGGATGTGGTCCTGGAGTACGATGTGAGCGACATCAGATCGGATAGGGTTAGGTCGGGCCTGTCCCCCTACAGGGGGATTTTCGACGAAAAATATAAAATACAGCCCAAACAATAATCCCAAAATGGTCTGGGGACTATTTTTGGATTATTTTTTGACCTTCTTGGTGTATTTTTAAATATTGTTCATATTTTCGTCGAAAATCCCCCTGTATAGGGGGACACGCCCGACAGAAAATTAGCTGCATGCAGACGGATGCGGCCCCGCCGCCAGGCCCATTCCTCGATGGCGGGGGCGCGAGGCGCCAGGAAGATCAGCTGCGTGAGCTGATCCTCGACCCTACCCTCATGGGTCTTTGTTCCACCACCCCCACCATAAGTTGGAGGGGGAGGGGGTCCTCCTCCTCCTCCTCCTCCCTTTCCTCCTCCTCCTCCTTCCCTCCTCCTCCTCCTTCCCCCCTGCTCCTCCTCCTCCTCCTCCTCCTCCTCCTCCTCCTCCTCCTCCTTCCCCCCTCCAACTTATAGCGGTGGTGGTGGTGGAAAGCAGGCCCATCCTACCTTTTGATATCTTACTCTTCCGTCTCCCCAGAGCGTTTCGGAAAGCTCTCAGAGTGTCCCGTCCCGGAGCGCTCCGAGGAGGCCGCGGTGCCCGAGAGGCATCCTCCGGAGCTGCCGGGTCTGAGAGGTTTCCGATTTGTCTTCGTCCGAATTCCAGGTCGATGCATCCCCCCCCATGCCAGTCCCCCCTATCGACACCCCTCACCTTTTTGCTTTCTTACCATCTCGCCCCCCGAGTGATGAGAAAGCATGGCGTCGGGGGTCTGAGTTGCGCGGCGGCCCTCTTTCGTGGCCAGGGCAGTGAAGGCTAATTACCGAAAAGGGTCGTGTACGCGATACTGTAGGTAGCTTTTGGTGTCGTGGAAACGCGTGGCTCGTGCATTCCTACAATTCGCTGTGTCGTTTTCGTTCGATACGTCCGCATGTTGGAGATGTAGGAAAGTGTGGTTCGTGATTTTCTACAAGCTCGTTCCCCATACCACCGTTAAGCAACATCGCCATTAGCGCGACCTTCGAAAGGGCCGTAGACGCGCTAACGGCAATGTAGGTAACGGCAATGTAGGCTTCGGCATTGAAGGTGGGATTGGGTTCGTGGCCAAACCAATTGTAGGACATCGTTGCTCGTGATGTTCTACACTTCGATGCGTCATTCTCGCTCGATACACTCGCACACTTCAAATGTAGGAGAGTGTTGTTCGTGATGTCCTACAATTTGTTCTGGGCGAGCTCGGTGTCACACACATCATATTCCCAACATCGCCGTTCATCAATATCGTCATTAGCGTGGCCGTGGAAGGGGCCCTTGAGTAGCCTTAAACGGGGCCTTTCGGGCCGCAAATGGGGGCCTCTAGGACCCAAGAAGTGCACCTCCCCCCCCCCGTCGACTAGACGTAAGAGTGACCCTTCGCCGGAGAAACCTTGGGTGCGGGCTCACTGGGATCTCCCCGATCGCTGAGCGCCGTGCGATAGTGGCTGCTTGCGTGCTTGGAGTTTGCCACCTTGTGCCCCCTTCGTCCGAGCACTAAAGGTCACTCTTGCCTAAGGTTACTCTGGCGTGTAGACGAATTTGTTGGCCCCCCATTAAGCGACGCCCGAACGCGTTCTTGGGGGCCTCGTTCTGTCGGGGGCGGCCAAGATGGGAGTGATGACTAGGAGGAGGATCTCATCGCGGGGGCCATGCTACCTCCCCAGATCTCATGGCGCCTCTTCTTATCTCAATGCGTCCCCGGCCACCCCTCTCTGGGCCGCGCACACGCAGCCAGCCACGCGTTGCGCTGCCCCCCCTCTTGGACGCCCCCTTCTGGACGCTCCCGAGCTTGCCACGTGTTCCCGGAGGAGTCCGAACCCACTGGGCTGCTTGGTGGGTCTGGCCTGGCCTGTCTGGCACAGATCGGCGGCGGGCGAGCGGGGGAAGTGGGAAGAGGAAGGCCTTCCTTCAGCCACCGTCTCTCGGCGGCGAGCGAGGGAAGTTTCGGGCGCGAGGTTCGAGGTATTCGAGCGCGTTCGTCGGTTCTCGGCGGTTTTCCAGCCTAGGGGTGCGTTCCAGCGG